CCTCTATCTTGACCCCCAGAACGCGCAGTAGCACCTCCAACTTGCGGAGCTTCACCATCATTGCCTTGCTCGCGGACACCATTGTGTTGAGGATGTACACTACGGCTTGGTTGTCCTCGTGCAAGAGCAGTTGGCGGACGCGAGATCCTGAGACGTATTCGGCAAAGTGTCGATAGAGAAGCAGACGTACGGCGCGGAGCTCCCTCAAAGTAATCGACTGCGCTCTGTCCTCAGCGTTCCAAAAACCGCGACCCTCCCACAAACCCGGCAATCCAGCGCCCGTTTCCAAACCGAGGGTGCCTCCATGCCCGACGTCGGCTGCGTCGCTGTGCATGGTGAGTTGCGGGTCGGGCCTGATGAGATCTCTACCCTCGCCACGGGTGAGCGAACGCCAGTAGCGCAGGTCGCGCAGGGACTGGCGGCAGAGGCGCATTTTCGATGACCGCGGCCGTCCCCCAGCCTCTCTATGCAGCGTACCGTTCCCGGTGGCTTCGCCGCCGAACCCCCACTGGTAGCTCCGACTCCAGTCTCCCGCCGGGGGCTCGGCCCTGGACCCCTCGGAGCTCCGCGCAGCGTACTACGGGGTGGGGGCGCGCTTCGCGCGCAGCAACCCCCCCTTCGTACTTGGACCTCGCTCCTTGCGTGTAGTGCAATGTGCCTGGCAGGCCGCGAACACAATCCGACGGTCAAACAAAAAGAAGGAAAGCAACAACAGCAACAACCACTGCCGATGGCACGCGCTACGGAGCGTTCGAGACTCCCTTTCCCCTTGTGTGGGCTTGCGGCCCACGGTAGCTCGACTCCGACGGGGGGGTTAGGGAAAGATACCTGGCCCGGGAAGATGATGGTGGTAGAGACTTGTGAAGACTTGAGTGCTCGACGAGTGCGGGTTGGGCTTGTCTACGAGAATGTAACCGCGGTTCGCTGGGTTGTAAGGCCAATGCTCGACGAGCGTCTTCAGCACCTTGTGTGTAATTCAAGGTCTTCGCCGGGGGCTTGTTCAGCACTACCCGACGGGATGGTAACCGTGTATCAACGCTACTACCGACGTGTTGCCCGATGGCTAAAAACACCCTCACCAGCGCGATTGCGATCGCGGTAGGCGGTACCAACTCTGTCTTATACAGTAAGACCTTCGACGGAGGCGTCGTTGCAACAGCCTTCCGACGGAACTTGAAACAGTAGCAGCGCTACACAACGTGTTACCCGTTGGCTAAAACACCTACAACGGATCGGTCGCAACCAACTCCAATGGAACCAACACAATCAAGGGAAAATAGATGTAGAGATAGAAAAGGTAAAAGGATAAGGAAAAGGAATGGGACCCCGAGCAGTAGAGGATGTCGTTAGCAGCGTAGAAGTGAAGCGCGTCGCGTGAACGGAAGCGGCCTTCGACGAAGGCGAGATCTAACTCCGGCAACTCGGGTTACCTTTACTGACTTGGTGGTCAGAGGGCTAAGGTATATATCGCCCCGCCGGAGCCACTACAGTAGCTCACGGCGCTAGATCCTAGATCTAAGCTAGTGTCAGCAAAATTAATGGCAACTAATTAACTAAATAAAATAAAATAATTAAGAATTAAAACTGTGCAATTATTCACACGTGTGTCCCCCAACCCGGACTACTTTTCATATCGAAATATTTTCCTTTCTTTTCACCCCCCTTTTCAGGTGCGTATTGCACTACATTGCGCTCCATTCCGGTTCCAGTCTCCGTTGCCCGCTTCTCGGGCAGGCTCATGTCGAAGTAGATCGACAGAGTGTAGAACCGGGCGAGCGGGAGCGCGAGAGTTACCGATACACAGACGCCGCAAAAATGTCGCAGTAGTTCCAACGACACAAGGCGGCGGTTCCGTTGCGCCAACAGCAGCATCCTTTTGGCCAAAGCCCTCACACGCGCCACTTTCTTGTCGGACACATACAAGCGCATCTCCTCGGTGTCGATGTGCACCCCGAGGTGGTCTATCCTGCGGCTCCCCTCCCAACAACCCTTCATCGGGTGCCTCTCGATCCCCAGGCGCTCGAAGAGCCGCCCAAGTCTCCGCCGTGCGCGGGTACAGTCCTGCGGACCTGCTCCTCTTCCGAAAGGTGTGGGAGCTGTCAAAAAGTCGTCGATGTAAGGCAGAACCCGAAACTTCATCTTCTCTCTGATGTACTGAACCAGCGGCCGCAACAGCTTCGTAAACCAGAGCACCGAGCGACACAATCCAAATGGCAGAGCGATGCAGCGGTATACCCCACCATCGTACCGAAATGGGAAGTAGTCGCGCACATCTGGGTGCAAATAGAAATGTCGATACCCGCTCTGTATGTCCCACGACATTAACATATCTCCCCTCTGTATATCCGCGGCAAAGGAGGGTATCGTTTCCATCTTGATACTCCCCCGCAGCCAGTGCTTGCTCTGCCGATGCAAGTTCACGAAGAACCTTCCCGTCCTGTCCTCCCCCTCCCCTTGCCACACGGTGAACGCCGAAAGATATCATCTTCCCCTCCCGCACTTTCTCGCCCGCCTCCTCGTTGCTTACCGGCTCATAGATCCCTTCCCGACACCCCTTCTCCAGATCCGCCCTCCTAAAACCCTTGTCTTCCTCCGATTCGGGGATCTCTCCTAGTACGAGCCCCTCCGTAAACGGCTCGGTTGGCAAGTCCCGAATGCCAAACGGGATAGCTCGCACCAGGTATTCTGACGCCCCGAGTTCCGAGCGCTAGGAGGCGGACCTCAAGGACGTCCTCCTCCACAAGGGTTGTCCCCCGGCCACCATTGTGGGACCCTCTGCCTAGTGGGCCGTCACTCTGACTGGGGAGCCCCGGAGGAAATCCTCTGCAGGTTGCGTCCTCTGGCCCTCTCGAGTCGAGACTTCGCCAGCTGCTTCGCCGCCTCGACCTCCAACCTGGAGGTGAGGGCTTCTCGTGCCGTGCGGTAAGACTCGGATAAGACCGCATCATGGCCCTGTTCGACAAGAAAGGACATCTGGCGAGCGGCTTCTACTCCCTGTTCTGTCATGTCCCGGAAGTACTGTGCCCTCATCCACAGGACCTCTAGAGCCGCCCGCATCGATTCCTTAGCCAACTTGAGCCTCCTTCGCATGTCTTCTAAACTTCTTTCTTGATCTTTGGCCACCGTCATGGCAGCCAATCCCAGTTCCGTCCAAACGCAGGCGTTTACGTACTCCAATTCTTTTCCGGATCGCCGGTCCTTGAACTTGAGATCGGCGAGGAACGCGTCCTGGGGAGGTTTAAAATAACCCATGTGCGTAACGGGCACGTATGGGCCCCTCTCAAAGACGCTTCCCCCGCCTACCAACTTCGAGGAATTCAGCTCGGTGACAACCACACCGTAGTCGCGGCGCGCCGGCTTCGCGATAGCTCAGGTGGCCCGCAATGCAGCCGCCGGCGCGGCGGGGGCGGGGTTGTCAGTCGGTCCTGCCATGATTCTTCGGCAGCACGCTGTGTGTGTCGCGTAGAATTCGTCGCCGCCCGGAGTGGTGGGGGAATTTCTCAGAGAGATATAGACATGCCGAGGGACGGCGGCGATCGCGGGGACCCTGGGCGCTGCGCTTATATACCTCCGGGTCGCCGCGGTGCGACGTTCGGCTGACTGTAAGCCCCGTACACCTGCTCGCTACTCCTTGGTGGGTTTTCACCCGCATACACTCTGAGGCAGTGTCCACCGGAATAGATTGTTAAAAGGTGTCTCTAATCTGGCTTCTGTGACAGATCACAGGACTCGGTAGTAAGCGCTTCTACGTCGGACAGGGCGCTCGCGGCGCTCAGAGTAAAGGAGCGATGTATTTATGCGGAAGCAAGAGAATGGGGCAAAGTCCACGCATGCGTCTCCCCGGGTTCCCCGGATCCCAACGCAGCATGCTGCCTTTATTTACAAAACCCGAATGGGTGCGGCAATCCGCACTCTCCGCTCCGTGTCGTCCCTGTCAGGCGACGACAGTTGCGCTGCGCCCTACACACCTCCTGGTCAGACAGACCAGGACCACTGCTGTGCTGCAGTGGGGCTTTTCGCTCGGCGGTAGGCCCATGACGTACTTACATTACCCAGAGGGGTACGGGTGCGCATTGACGCTAGCTCTTACAAAGGCTACGCACCCGGAATCGCAGTATCAGAGGTGGCTGTCCACTCACCTCTGCGGCAGGCTCGCGGTACGAGGCCAGCCCTGCTACGCCCCAAGGCATCGTGCCGTAGACATCTCGCTCTCTAGCTATCTTTGCGAGCGCAGGGCGTTACACTTCACCGTCTGAAGTCCTTCCACCGCTTCGCATAAATGGTCAAATGTGCCCCCGGTTTTGCGATGCTCCCGAAAAATCGGAGCCATTGGCCTTGAAACGATGGACTCTATTTCACGGTAATCAGGTCCAAAGTTGCGGTGTAGTACGGTACCCTTCTGAGTGGTAGTCCAGACACAATGCGTATTCTCCTCATTGCCACTCTGTACAACTGTAGTCTACTGTACCAGCAGACTACTTGTACAGTTGTAATCTGCGTGTCTGCTTTTGAAGCACTCGCTGAAATCAGCGAGTTCCAGTGCAGCACAGCCAGGTTACATACCCCGGGCGGTTCAAGAGGTTTCCAAATGTCATGAAAACTACATCAATGGCCCCCCGCCTCCGCCTTCCCATTTGCCCCCCCCCCCCCCCCTCCACCCGCCCCTCCAACCCCCCACCGCCCTCTCCACATCCGCCCAGCAATCCCATCTCCGTCCTTCTCACCTTTCGCTCCACCTCCCCCCTCACACCTCGCTCCACCCCCCTTCGTCGTCGCACCCGCGCCGCGGCCCGCTGCTCCCCACGGCGCAACCCCCGGACCGCCACCGCGTCATCCAGGTGCCTCTGCCGCAGCAACCCCAGCCGCAACTCCAGCCCCCGCACCGCTAGGGACAGCAAACTTCCATGCAGCACCCGTCTCATCGCATGCAGTGACAGGTGCTTACAAGACAAGCCATCCCTTCGCAAGAGGCCAGTGTCCATCAGGTGCAGCAGGTTTCGATGACGCAACAGCCAAACCATGCCCACACTCCGCAGCAGGCGCAGGTGTCGAGCCAAGGGCCTTCTCAAGGAACGCCGCCGCAGGCTTCGACCCAAAAGCATGCGCAGCAAATGGCGCAGCAGGGGCATGGACAAAATCATCGCATACAGCAGGGTACAGAGCAATCTCAGCAGGATGCGGGGCCCAGTCAGGCGCAAGGTGGACAGCGGTCAATGGGATCCCGAGCGGATGCTCTCGGTGTGAGCGGAATGGCGGACGGTGATCGGCCTGCCGCCTCCAGACAAGAACAAGAAGGTACGGACCAAGGCTGCAGCCAATTAAAAGTGGAAGACGCTCTCGCCTATCTGGAACAGGTGAAGCAAGAGTTCAATTCTCACCCCGATGTGTACGACCACTTCTTGGATATCATGAAGGAGTTCAAGGCCAACTCGATTGACACCACAGAGGTTATTCGGAGGGTAATCACGTTGTTCGAGGGAAGAAAAAGACTTACACTAGGGTTTAATACCTTTCTACCACCAGGGTACAGGATTTCAGAGCGGATGATCCTTTCATACTCTCTGAAATCTTGTCCCAGGAGATCGGCAAGGCTCGTGAGGCAACGTTTACCATGCTGTGGACAAAGACAGTAGTTTTGTGGCGCTCAAAAAGGTCAAACTGGAGAGCTCGCGCAACTGGAAGCTGTACAAGGTCGAGGTGCAAAAGATGCAGAACCAGTACAAGGCGGACAACGTAATGGATTGCTAGGATGTATTCAGAAGCCGCAACGAGCTGTGGATTGTGAAGGAGTACATATCTGCCCGGACTTTAGCGGACTTACTATCCAAGAAGCGAGGGGCGGAGTTTCAACGGTCGCAGCAAGCACAGGGCGAGGGGGCTGGCGAGGTCGCTGGCGAGGTCGCTGGGGGGCGCAAGATGGAAGAGAGCGTGATCGCATACATATGCCGTGGGGTGTTGCGCGGGCTGGAAACCTTGCACTCGATCCGACGCGTGCATCACAACATCAAGGAGGACAACGCTCTGCTGGACATGGACCGGGTCGGTGAAGATCGCGGACTTTGGGTTCTGCGCCGAGCTCTCCCGCGGGTTCGGGAAGCGCAACACGGTGGTGGGGACGCCCTACTGGATGGCGCCCGAGGTGATCCGCGGGGCCAATTCCGACTGCAAGGTGGACTTGTGGTCGACGGGGATCCTGGCGCTCGAGTGCGCGGAGGGCAAGCTGCCGCACTTGGAAACGTCGCCGATCCGGGTGATTTTCCTGATCGCGACGCAAGGCGCACCGGAGCTGAGCGAGGCGGCGAGATGGTCGGAGACGATGCGTGAATTCATTGGGCTGTGTTGTAAGGTCAAGGCGGAGGAGAGACGGTCGGCTGAGGAGATGTTGCAGCATGAGTTTATTGAGAGAGCTTGCTCGCAAGCAGACGCGGCCGGGGTTTTCCCAGAGGCTTGCGACCTGAGATTTAGGAAGAGGAGGGAAGGGCGGACGAGGGGGTTTAGCAATTATCAGTTCCAGACGGAGTGGTAGAGAGGTGGAGAGTTAGAGAAGTGGAGAACTAGAGAGCTAGGTACACGGTAGATAGAGGGGCGGCTTTTTGTAAAATACCGTAGGAGAGAAGGCAAGTATAATCCTCTCTCCTCAAAGGAGCTTGGCTACCACAGCGACAGTCAGCAAGCAGAGCAAGGCAGCAAGCAGAGCAAGGCAGCAAGC